CTCAGCATCTCCCGGCTCCCCTCAGCCCCTCCAGCTCCCTCATCCTCACCGGTTTCCCCTCAGGACCCTCCAGTTCCCCTCAGGATCCCCCGGATTTTCCTCAGCCCAGTTCCCCACATCCCCCCGGTTCTCCTCATCCTCTCCAGCCTCCTCATCCCCCGGTTCTCCTCAAGATCCCCCGGTTCTCCTCATCCTCTCCAGCCCCCTCAGGACCACCGGTTTCCCCTCAGGATCCCCTGCTTTCCCTCAGCCCCTCCAGCCCCCGTCAGGATCCGCCGGTTCCCCTCATCCCCATCCGCTTCCCCTCATCCCGCTTCCCCTCAGGATCCCCCAGTTCCCCTCAGGATCCCCCAGTTCTCCTCAGGATTCCGTGGTTCCCTTCAGGATCCCCAAGTTCCCATCAGGATCCCCCAGTTCCCCTCAGGATCCCCCAGTTCCCCTCAGGATCCCCCAGTTCCCCTCAGGATCCCCCAGTTCTCCTCAGGATCCCCCAGTTCTCATCCCCATCCACTTCCCCTCATCCTGGTTCCCCTCATCCCCACCCAGTTCCCCTCATCCCGGTTCCCCTCAGGATCCCCCGGTTCCCATCAGGATCCCCCAGTTCTCCTCAGGATCCCCCAGTTCCCATCAGGATCCCCCAGTTCCCCTCAGGATCCCCCGGTTCCCCTCAGGATCCCCCAGTTCTCCTCAGGATCCCCTGGTTCCCATCAGGATCCCCCAGTTCCCCTCAGGATCCCCCGGTTCCCATCAGGATCCCCCAGTTCCCCTCAGGATCCCCCAGTTCCCATCAGGATCCCCCAGTTCTCCTCAGGATCCCCCAGTTCTCATCCCCACCCGCTTCCCCTCATCCTGGTTCTCCTCAGGATCCCCCAGTTCTCATCAGGATTCCCCGCTTCCCCTCAGGATCCCCCAGTTCCCCTCAGGATCCCCCAGTTCTCATCCCCATCCACTTCCCCTCATCCCAGTTCCCCTCATCCCAGTTCCCCTCATCCCAGTTCCCCTCATCCCCACCCGGTTCCCCTCCCCGGTTTCCCCTCAGGACCGCCGGTTCCCATCAGGATCCCCCGGTTCTCATCCCCATCCACTTCCCCTCATCCCGGTTCCCCTCAGGATCCCCCGGTTCCCATCAGGATCCCCCGGTTCCCCTCACCCGGTTTCCCCTCAGGACTGCCGGTTCCACTCATTCTCCCGGTTTCCCTCATGTCCCCGATTCCCCTCAGCTCCCTCATCCCCTCCAGCCGCCTCATTCCCCCGGTTTCTCCTCATTCCAGTTCCCTTCATCCGCCCGCTTCCCCTCCGGATCCCCCGCTTCTCCTCATCCTCTCCAGCCGCCTCAGGATCCCCCAGTTCCCCTCAGGATCCCCCGCTTCTCCTCATCCTCTCCATCCGCTTCAGGATCCCCCGGTTCCCCTCAGGATCCTCCGGTTTCCTCTCAGAACCCCCCGGTTCTCCTCATCCCCCGGTTGCCCTCGGGATCCCCCGGTTCCCCTCATGCCCCGGTTCCCCTCATGCCCCGGTTCCCCTCACCCTCTCCAGTCTCATCCCCCCGCTTCTCCTCATCCTCTCCAGCCGCTTCAGGATCCCCCGCTTCCCCTCAGGATCCCCCGCTTCTCCTCATCTTCTCCAGCCCCCTCAGGACCGCCGGTTCCCCTCATCCCCCGGTTCCCCTCAGGATCCTCCGGTTTCCCCTCAGGATCCCGCGGTTTCTCCTCATCCCCCGGTTCTCCTCATCCTCTCCAGTCTCCTCATGCCCCGGTTTCCCCTCACGCCCCGCTTCCCCTCACCCTCTCCAGTCTCATCCCCCCGGTTCCCCTCATCCCCCGGTTCTCCTCATCCCCCGGTTCTCCTCATCCTCTCCAGCTTCCTCATGGCCCGGTTTCTCCTCAGAACCCCCCGCTTCCCCTC